AAGGCGTCTGAAATGGAGGATGTGGACTGGAGATTTTACGGGGGTGCGGTTTCTGGTTTTGACAGAACCCCGAGTGGATCCTCGATGGAGTGAGACAGAGAGAATCAGAAATGAGCTGGAAACCGGTTCTGTGTAACCGACGGGCCCCCCCATGCCGAGGTCACCGTGCTTGGTGGCCAGACTTGAGGACAGAGCTGGAGGATGGCTGATCCCGCAGCCACCATCCTGGGACAACTGGAGGAGAACCCGGAAAAGACAGAGGAGACGCTTTGCCTCTGCCTTGGGCCCAGCACGTGAGGATTCCATTCTCCCTGCACCACGGCCTCTGGACAAACGCCCTCCGGGCCCCCCTGAGCTCCAAGTGCCTCCAGGCCGTCCTCCCGCTCGCTGCCTCCTGGTACCGAGACCCAGTGCCCACGGCCATGGGTGTCACACGGTCAGAGGGACAGGAGGGCACCGGGCCCCCACGACTCTGCCTCCTCCACTTGAGATAAACCATGTGACCTCCCTGACCACCCTCCGAGGGAAATTTAATTTTAGTTGTTAAGAGCTGGGCACGGGGTGCTGTTCCACACGAAGCCAGGCTTCTGTTCAGGAGAGTGAGTGGCATCTGCTCCGGTCGCATCAGGATGTGCCGCTGAGAGGGGCCGCCGACCGGTGGAGCGAGGACGCCCCTTCATCCCAAAGTGACCGCACACCGCAGGAGGGAGTCAAAGGGCCCCCCTGCCCCGATCCCGGGGGCCACGGGATAGGAGGACACAGAGTCAAAACAAAACATGAAGTCTCTCATCTGAGGAGCATTTCTGTTTCAGGCAAGTCCAGGAAGCGGGGTGATAAGAGGGGACACTGAAGATAAGGAGACCAGCTGGTTCACAACCAGAGCCACACGGGCCAGCGACCTGGAGGAGGGTCAGGATGGCATGAGGTCAGCCCAGGAGCGGGGGGCAGTGCTTCCCAGACGCCCGAGGTACAGGGTTGGGGCAGGTGACGCTGAGCCCTGGTCACGTCGGTGGCACCGTGGTTCCCAGGACAGCTGCTCCGTTCCCACAGGCTACATGCAGACCTATGTGGGGGCTATGAGGGGCCCACTTCTCACGTTTCGTGGGAGGTTGTGCCCTGCACACGAGCATGTGCCCGAGAGAGAGGGCTGGGTGGCTGGCCAGAGCTGGGCCGTGAAGCCGGTCGGTGTCCCGTCTGACCCTCTTGAAGCTGGTGCCCTTGAGGCTGCTGCAATGTTCGGAGACCTTGCATCGACGTGATGACCTCAGCTGTGGCCTCAGCAACAGACCGTGGCTGACACAGGCCTCCGTCTGACACGCTGTGGGGCCCAAAGACAGAACATGTTCCCCATCTGGCCTCAAGAAGCTTAGGCTCAGCTGTGGTTTGAGGCACCTGTCACTGTGACCCCCCAGAATCAAAGAGCCCAGCATGTTAGACGTGGAAGGGGACTCGGGGGTACCACCCAGCCCTCGTTCAGATGTGGGAGCCCAAACCCAGAGAGGCGGAGGCCGAGGATCGGAAAGCGAATTCCCCGCCTACGCCGTCCCGCTGACTTCGTGGGAAAGATCAAGAAAGGGCTTGTTTTCGAATACCCTCCAGTGCAAAGCTGGGCGACATTTGTAGTGAGAACAGGGACTCACAGAATGTTCTTCCAACAGGAATTATTTATCTGGGGAGGACGCGGTTCTCGGGGGAGGGACAGGCTCTCCAGCCGCTCGGCTGACCCTGAGGATAAACACACATTAGGGTAATTACAGCCGCAAGCAGCTCTCAGGGCCGCGCCGGCCCGTTCCCTCCGGAGACGAGGACTCCTTGTCTGCAGCTCTGCCAGCTCCACCGACCTCCGATCCCACGCGGGCCGCAGAGGCCCCGGCACGTCCTGGGCATCCTCTCGTCCCGCGCGGAGCCGTTTCCATACGGAGGCCCCCGAGACAACCCCACCTGTCAGAACACTGAACTGGTCCACAAAAGGTGGGGTCTCCAGTTCGACGCTCCCCTGAGCCACACGGGGAGAGCGAGGAAGGGTGTCTCCGAGCCCTGTGCCCTCCCCTCCTCAACCCGGAGGACAAGGCCGCCGCACCCTCCTCATTCTGTCCCCTCACGGCAGATCCCGTCGCAGTGCCTGTCATTTCCCTTCTGCTTTGTCTCGGGTGGGGCCTCCTTCCCGAACCTCAGCCTGCCCGCGCCGGTCCCCTGTGACGCACTCACCTCTCATTCTTCCTTTAATTTACTTATTTTATTCATCCTTTTGTATTAATCTTCACCTATTTTTTCCATTGATTTGTAGAGAGAGTGGAAGGGAGGGAGGGATGGGGGGAGGAGAGAGAGAGAGGAACATCGATGTGAGAGAGACACATCAGTAACCTGCCACCCAGGTTCATGCCCTTGAACAGGAATCAAATCTGAGACCCTTTGGTCCGAGGGCCGCGCTCTAACCACTGGGCACACTGGCCAGGCCCATTCATCCTTCTAAAGGATTCTCAACCATCTCGCTCCTGCTCGAGTTACCTTCATGGGTCTCGTCCAATCACCCCAACAGGTCTGGGAAGCGCCCTCTTTACTTGTGGCTCCCACTTCCCCACCCCCCACGAGCACATGTTTGCCCTGGGGCTCTGCACCCCCAGTGTCACAGACACCATCATCTTCAAGCCGTCCTCTCCGTCACCGGCTGGAAGGAACCTGGGGCAAAGTCCAGCCCCCTCCACCCCCTGTTCAGAAACCCCAGCGCTTCAGCGTGTGTCTGTCAGGTGCTCGGTCCGGATTTAAATGCATCACCCCCCTGCCCAGACTCGGGGTCCAGCCAGGTCCCCGGCACAACCCCGTGCAAAGTCCAAACCCTGCCCCCTACGCCGTCTGGGACACCCAGAACACACTCGGGAGAAAACGCTCCCACAGGAGGTCATCCCACAAAACAAAAATCCAGATGGGAATCCAACCCCACGAGCAAATTCAGTGTCATGGAAAACACGTGAGAAGGAACCAACGCGGTGCTTTGGCCGGGCTCCTGAGCGCGCCCCCGGCAGGCACCGCCGCCTGGCTCCACCGGGGACGGCGTCTGCTCAGTCGTGCTCGGTGGCAGACCTGTTCCGGGCCCCAAACCACGAAGTCACACTGCCCTCCTGAAAGGCCACTGACATCCCCTAACTCGTTCCGGGAAATGTCACGCCGGGCAGTTCCTGTTCCGGGCGTTTATCCAAAGACATGAAGCCAGGTGCGGGGAACCGAGGCTGAGCGTCTCCAAGCTGCAGGGAGACCTGGGTCTCTCCCTGGACGGCCCTTGGCTCAGGCAGAGTTAGGAACTGGGCCCCTTCTCCCGGAGCGGAGGGAGACCCCAGGCTCCCACAGAGACCTCCCTCCAGAGACCTCCCAACCCAGCGGCCTCATGCACCGGACACTTAGCGACAACACTCCCAGGCTCCAGAAAGCAGTCATCCCTTCAAAATGCTCCCTGAAAAGGGACTACAACTTAGTCTACAACTTAGTCTACAACTAAGACTCTCCCACCAGCCTCACCTTTATTTTTAGAAACACACACAGATCCTCCCTGACAGAAACATTAAAACAAGAAGGAAAAGAGACGAAAAGTAACAAACACCATGGTTACACCCCAGGGATGGAGGATTAGCTCCCACAGACTACAGATGATTAGAAAACAAACAATAAATTACTGCTTTGTGGGGTGGTTTTTCTTCAGCAGGAGTACTGGGAGAAGTGATGTGTCCCTTTGGGGAGAGGAGAGAGTTACTAAGTAATGTTTGGACTTAAAATGAACTTAGGATATTAAACGTGTATGAGTAGCCATTAAAATAATAGAAAGTGTAACCACGAGATAAATCAAGCATAATAGAAAGGAATAAATAAACTCTGTGTTTAGAAAAAGGAGAATAATGTTCACACAACACAGGATTGCAAAAATATATCCACAACAGGTGGAACAGAAATGATACCAATGATGAAGGGACATGGACTATTGGGTCTGAAACATGGAACTATGTTTTTTAAATTTACAGAGACCCCCGCAGAAATGATGAATGTGGACCGTTACGAATCAAAACACAGGTGAGGTCGAAATATTCCTATCAGACAAGATAAATTTGAGAGCAAAACCCATGGAAAGAGACAATCATAGGTGTGAAACACGGATTTTTGAAAAGCCTTCTTGATGGTCAGGACTTGGTGGTACCTAACAATCAAGCTTCCCAATGTACGAAGAAAATACTATCTCAGTTACTGCTTTTCGGTCATTGGAGTTTGAAAAATCCATCTCACATTGAGAATATTCAAGTGTTTCCCTCAGGAACCGAGAGCCAAACATAAAAAGTAAGCTTGGAGAAGGTTTGGATAAAATAAAGTCACAGAACCGCAGATGTGTAGGAACTTGCCTGAGTCTAACGGAAAGAAAACATACATTTTCCAAGCACAAAAGGAATATTCACCCCCCCAAAAAAGAATAGACAACAAATCTCCAAAGAGTTTATCATTTCCAAGCCACAGTATCTCGACCGTAACGCAATTAAATCACACAGTGAAGAGTCTTACTGTAGAAATTGTACTTTTCCGGAGCAAAATCCGAAAACCACAAACCCCCACATCTCAGGAAACCTGGGCTAGAAGGATGTTATAAAGACAGTTACAAAAACTATCCAAGTGTTGCTACATCGGTCTAAATGCGTTGTCATCCCCGGAGTCTCATCCCGTCCATGAGGCCCTGTGAGCCGCGGATCTGTCTTTGGGGGGCAAAGCCCACAGCTCCAGGTGGCTCGGGGCCCCAGGGGGAACAGGCAACCCTGCGGGCAGATTAGCCTGGCGTCCTCCTGATGGAGCCGCCAGGGACCGAGGGGCCCGCCCCCACGGGGAGGAATGCAGCCCCCCAGCCCCCGCTGGCAGGCTGCTCCCAGCCGCAGCCCCGCCCTGGCTCCGGATTGGCCGCGGGCTGGGGGGGCTGGGCCTCCTTATAGTCTCGGGGCCGCCGGCCCAGGCGCTTTCTGAAGTTCCTTCGACAACTCTCATCCCCGGACTGCGCTCACAGCTGAGACTCGGTTGCCAACATGTGCAAAGGGCTCGCAGCCTTGCCCCACTCCTGTCTGGAAAGGTGAGGGCGAGGCTGGCTTCGAGGGGGGCAGGGGCACCCTGCTCAGGGGAGGGTCCCAGCTCAGACAGGTGCTCATTGCAGAGGGGGGCTGTGTCCCCTCCGTGGGCCGCAGGGAGGGCTTGAGGGCGCTGAGCCCGGAGATGGACGCCCCCAGGGGAACCGCGCACCCCGAGCGCCCAGAGCGTCTTCTGCAGAGGGGCCTGGGCTGTGGCTGCGTGTTCGAGTCCTGGCCCCGCTTCCTCTCTGTGTGAGCGGGTGGTTTCCTTAGCCTCTCTGCGCCTCAGTTTCCCTGTAAAAGGGAGCCGAGCGTGTCTGCCCACTGGCTGGCTGTGAAGGTTGGTGACTGTGCACGAAATGTCGGAACCCCCCTGGCGCCCACGCGAGCGCCGTCAGAGTTGGGCTGTGTCCGTGAGCCGCACCGGGAGGAAGACGGGCATGCTGCCAGGCGCAGGCTCACGTCCTGGGCACCTTGACCCCGTTAGAAGGAAGCAGCGGTTGGGTGGACAGAGAAAGCCCTTGGGCCACAGGTGCTATTCATTGGCTACAGGTGTTACCCAATCTCTTCAGGTAGATGGACACTGGTAGTTTCCCGGGTTCTCTCTACCTGCACAGTATTGGGGGGGCAGTCTCCACAGTATAAAGGGCAGGGCCTCCTCACAGTCTGCGGGGCGGCCGGCCCAGCACTCCCCAAGCTCCTTCGAGAACACTCCTCTGCCAGGGCTGTGCTCACGCGGAGACTCAGGTGCCAACATGTGCACAGGACCTGTGGCCTTGCCCAACTCCCGCCTGCAGACCAGCGTCTGAGCCAAGCAACTGGAACGCAGTGCGACTGTCAGAAACTAACCGCGTGATCCTGGAGGATGCAGACTAAGCGGGTGTTTCTCCCGAGAGTGGATGTGATGGAATGTGGGCTGAGCCTTCGTGATTCGAAGGACACGACCCCTGTGCACCCTGACTCTGTCCCTTAAGGCCCCAGCAGTGTTAGCCTAAGAGACAGCCGGGTTCCGTCTCTCAGCTCAGATCTTTTTGACGACTTTTACCTTAGAAATAACCTCCAGGTGATGTTCAAAGAGAAGCATTGTAGCCAAGGGCCCCGTCTCCAACAACACCAGGACTGAGAGTAAGTCCTGCCCTCCCTCCCTGTTGTCAGAAGCACAGGTGATTTTTAAAAGATACACGTAACAGCCCTGGCTGGTTTGGCTCAGCAGTTAGAGCGTCGGCCTGCAGACCAGAGAGTCCTGGGTTCGGTTCCCGCTAAGGGCGCGTACCTCGGTTGCAGCGTGTCCCCGCCCCGGTTGGGGTTGTGCGGGTGGCAGCCACTCGATGTGTCTCTCTCATATCGATGTTTCTCTCTCTCTCTTCCCCCCTTCTCTCCTGCTCTGTCTGAAGATAAATGCAAGAATGTCCTCTGGTGAGGATAAAAAGAAAAAAGATAACAGTAACTGGTTCAGTTGTGGTGGTTACATGGTAACTAGGGGGGGTGAGGTTGACCATTGAACAGACCCTGGGAGGACAGGCTGGCTACTCCTGACGCCTCTCAGCCTGCCCCCTGCCCCAGAGAGCCCGAGAAACAGGAGAAACGAGAAATGGGAGGCGAGAGGCACGCAGGGCTCCCCGAGTGTGAGATGGAGCCTGATTATTCCCCTTCCAGTTCCGCAACCCCGGGGATTACAATCCTCTTTCATGACGGTAATGATGCCTTTAGCCCACTGCTATTGAAATCAGTCTGTACCTCCGTGGAGTGGATAGAGGGCCCCTTATTATTTGGGGAACATTGGGCTCTAGGACGATGACCACGTCCGTGGGCCCGGCGCTTGGTGACCCTGCGGCACACGGCCTGGCATTGCGTGGGTATCGACAGCGGTTTGCGGAAAAGGAGGCACTGTCACCGCTGCACCCCGTATGTTCTTGTCGGGATGCGACATGTTCCCCGAGACACGAGGATGGGACGTTTCTTTGCCGGTTCCTCGCGGTCTTCTGTCTGGTGCACTAGCGAGGTTAATGACTGCTGTGTGCATCTTTGAACGCACCGCCCCTTCTGGACGTAACTAAGTCTACACGGCAGGGCACAGGCGCCGCAGCTGTTTCGCGCTGACCTGAGCCGGTCAGGGTCCTGGCACGCGGGGGACTCCGCTGCCGTGGTGTCCTGTCCGCGTGCACCTCTTCTGTCATCTGGTACCTTTGTGAATGGAGTCATCTTCCCCACTGCAGTGCTGCCTGAGCCCGGGGCTGGGGACATGGGATTGGGGAGCTTTGAGCACACTTGTCCTCCAGAGGGGTCTCAGACCGTGTGCCCCAAAGGAAAGGCAACATTTGAACTAATGCTTCCAGATCTGCCTTTCCTGGCTCTGCCCCCATCCGACGTGGATTTTAATGTCTTTATCTGAGCACTGAGCACCGGGTTCCTTTAGTCGCTTGGAGAGAAGAAAGGAAAAGTGAGAGTTGGTGGGGTGTGGGGACGAGAGATGGGGGGCAGAGCCAGGGTACTAGGCAGCTGTAAGAAAGAAAGATCTCTTACCCTTTGAGACGACATGGAGGGACCTGGAAAGTATTATCCTAAGTAAAACAAGCCAGTCAGAGAAAGACAAGTATCATATGATCTCACTTATTTGTGGAATATAATGAACATAACAGTCTGAGGAATGGGGTAGACCCAGAGACGCGGAAGTGGGGTACAGACTGACAATCCCCAGAAGAGGGGGCGGAAGGGGGAAGAGATAAACCACAGAACTTATGTGCATGTGTGCATGAACAACAGACATGGACAACAAAGCTGGGGACAGGGCGGGGACGGAGGGGGAGGAGGATGTCAATGGGGGGAAAAGGAGAAACATCTGTAACAAAAATAAATAAATAATTTTAAAAATCCAGGTAAGATAAATGAGGACAACCTACGTGCTTAGCAAAGCGACCTGCTGCGAGGGCAAGCCCACCGAGGATTCACGGGAAGCCCCGTGCCGTGGGGTAGATTCGGGTACAGAGCCCTGACGGACACATTGTCATTCCTCCCAGCCCACGGGAAGAGCGCAGGCGAGGAGCAGACTCGGTGGGTCAGGCCCCGGACTTGCACCCGCGGGCCAGGAGTTCTCCCCAGGATTCTGTTTCCTAACGTAGCCAAGGGAGGGTGGGTCACTTGTTCGATAACGTCCTTTCCGATTCTCACACCGGTTTCAGGGATCAGCAAGAGATGCCTTCCAGGGGGAGTCTTCCTAACTCATTCCCTCTAAAAGTTTGGGAGCAGAAGAGAGTCGCCTAATTAAAAATCACCAAGACCCAGGCCAGGGCTGAAATCACAGCTGTGGCAGAAGCGGTGACCCCCCAAGGCTGACCCACAAGACGGCGAACTTGACCCCCTGTGGGGGAGCTTCACCCCTAGAGAACACCCCTCTCAGCATTTGGAGACGCTAACCCAGCGTCAGCTCGGGCGTGGTGACAGGAACCTGTCTTTATCTCCTTAGATGTTTGAGGTATTGCTTACGGAATCTGAGTTGACCTCACGTGCTTGTATATATTTGAGGAGACCGACGATGTAAACAGTTGAGTGGATGCTGTGGCCACCTCCCCGCAGTTGCTACCTCGTGGCGAAGGAGGACAGAGCTGAGTCACCTTAGGTCTCATATTTATTATTATTTATTGTTTTATTTAATTAATTTATTTTTGTTACAGATGTTTCTCCTTTTCCCCCCACTGATTCCCCCTCCTCCTCCCTCCCCACCCTGTCCCCAGCTTTGTGGTCCATGTCCACTGTTCATGCACACGTGCATATAAGTTCTGTGGTTTATCCCCCCCACCCCTACCCCCTCTTCTGGGGATTGTCAGTCTGTACCCCACTTCCACGTCTCTGGGACTACACTGTTCTTCAGACTATTATGTTCATTATATCCCCAAATAAGTGAGGTCATGTGGTATTTGTCTTTTTCTGCTTGGCTTGTTTCACTTAGGATGATACTTTCCAGGTCCCTTCATGTCGTCTCAAAGGATAAGAGATCTTTCTATCTTACAGCTGCATAGTACTCCATTGTGTACATGTACCACAGCTTTTCTATCCATTTGTCTACTGATGGACATTTGGGTTGTTTCCAGATCTTAGCTATTGTAAATAGTGCTGCTACAAACATGGGGGTACATATATTCCTTTTGATTGGTGTCTCAGGCTTCTTAGGGTATATTCCTAAAAGTGGGATCACTGGGTCAAATGGGAGTTCAATTTTTAATGTTTTGAGGAAACACCTTATTTTTTTCCATAGTGACTGCACCAGTCTGCATTCCCACCAGCAGTGCACTAGAGTCCCCTTTTCTCCACACCCTCGCCAGCACTTGTTGTTTGATGATTTGTTGATGGCGGCCATTCTGACAGGTGTGAGGTGATACCTCATTGTTGTTTTAATTTGCATCTCTCTGATGATTAGTGATGATGAGCATTTCTTCATATGTCTCTTGGCCATTTGTATGTCCTGTTTGGAGAGGTGTCTATTCAGCTCCTCTGCCCATTTTTAAATTGGGTTCTTTGTCTTCCTTTTGTGGAGTTGTATGAGCACTCTATATATATTGGAAATTAACCCCTTATCTGATGTATCGTTGGCAATGATGTTCTCCCACACAGTGGGTTGCCTTTTCATTTTGATGGTGGTTTTTTTTTGCTGTGCAGAAGATTTTGAGTTTGATGTAGTCCCATGTGTTCACTTTCTCCTTTGTTTCTGTCGCCTTAGGTGATGTATCAGTGAAAATTCTGCTGCATATTTATTTATTTTTAGTCTTCATCCAAGGATATGTTTTCCATTGATTTTTAGAGAGAGTGGAAAGGAGGCAGAGGGAGAGAGAAGGAAACATTGATTATTTGCCTCCCATATGTGCCCCGACCAGGGCTGGGGATCAAACCTACAACCCAGGTACATGCCCTTGACCGGGACTCGAACCTGAGACCCTCTGGTGCACCAGCTGATGCTCTAACCGCTGAGCCACACCGGCCAGGGCTGAAGGTCTCATTTTTACCAGTGATT